CAAAGTTTGGATGTAGGGTCTGTACTCTATACTTTCATAAACCTCCCCCGAACAATAAAACATGATAATCCCTATATTGCACTTATAAGGGAAATACTTTTATTTGTTCGCTTAGGCCCAGGAGTAGCCTAAGGAAAAAAGGTTGCCCTGTTTAGATTTTTGGTTTACAGGGGCTTGTAATGCAACCTAAACCAAAAACATGGGGAAATGGCCTACGCTGGTTCCTAGTAGCCCTAAACCCCAAAAAATTGGGGAACAAGGGCCTATGCTGGTTCCTAGTAGCATAGCGTTGGGGGCCAAGCTTAGGAGCCTACTTGCAGGGTTTGGAAACCTTCTGAAGCCCGAAACGCCCGTCCCTTTTGGGAGACCTCACTGGCTTCTTGATCTTCCTATGTAGAGCTCTGATCCCTGAACCCGACACGGACCCCTGGCGGCCAAGACCAGTAAACCAAAGAAAATGTGCACAAATGGGGTTTAGGGGTTAGGGTTTGGGGTTGAGGCTTTATTATTGGTTGCTTAAGGAGTGAAGCCCCCAAAAAATAAGAAGCATCAACGCAATCAAATCGTCAGAACAGCCATCCAGAGCAACCCCAAGAAGCGTGGCACACAAAAGCCGCCCAGCGAGAGGCTTTCAAAGGGTTTTCGAGGCAAGACCAGCTAACCCTAAACCCTAAACCCTAAGCCCTCAGCCCTAAACCCGAAAACCCTAAACAGCCCTCTTCGGCCTGACCACGAACGTTGACTTGACTATTAGGGGTCCCTTATTGGGGTCCTTATGACAAGGGAATCCTACGATCTGGGGGCTATAAACCCTGAACCCTGACCCCTAAACCCTAAACCCTAAACCCAAACCCTAAACCCTTAACCCAAATTTTCGTAAATGCCCAGGGATCTTAAGGGCTCGTTCAACCTGCAACTTGAAGGTTCAATCAGAGTTTAGGGTTTAGGGTTTAGGGTTTAGGGTTCAGCATCTCAAATCCGAGCTTTCACTAGTCAAGCAGCTTGTCAAGCGTTGGAAAAAAACCCACCCACCCAAGAAACCCATAACATTGAGAAAATACAAAGTTCACTCAATACATTCCCAGTAGTTAGTTTTTAACGGACCCAAATCAATACATTCCCAGTAGTTAGTGTTTAACGGACCCAAAACCCGAAATCTATCTAATCTAAGGCCCACAACAGGCCCTTTATGCTCTTAGGGCCCTAAACCCTACGGATTAGAAGCCCCTATCGGTGAAGGCTCGTGGTCAAAACCCAGAAAACGAGGCCACCCAGAACCGTCGATTTCATACTAAAAAATCGCATTTTCAATAGGGATCCGGGCCGATCCTGGGGTCCCCCTCATTTGGGGTGTTTGTGGAGGCGAACTTTCCCGCCAGGGGGGGTCTCCGAAGACTATTTGCCTTTAAAATTGAAAAACACGACCCCCCTTGACCAAAACTAGGCTGTGAAAAGGTCGCGGGGGCTGCCCTTCATCAGAATTGAGGGTTAAAAGCCCTGAAACATCCTGAAAAACACTGAAAAACCTTGAAAAACACTGAAAACCTCTGAAAAACCTTGAAAAACCTTGAAAAAACTCGGGGAAAAGGAAATTCACCATTGCCCACTTTTGAAGCCGAAATTCACCGTTGCCCACTTTTGAGGCCAGAAAAGTCACCGTTGCCCACTTTTGAGGCCAGGAAAGTCACCGTTGCCCACTGTTGAGGCCAGGAAAATCACCGTTGCCCACTTTCGAGGCCAGGAAAATCACCGTTGCCCACTTTTGAGGCCAGGAAAGTCGCCGTTGCCCACTTTTGAGGCCAGGAAAGTCACCGTTGCCCACTTTTGAGGCCAGGAAAGTCACCGTTGCCCACTTTTGAGGCCAGGAAAGTCACCGTTGCCCACTTTTGAGGCCAGGAAAGTCACCGTTGCCCACTTTTGAGGCCGAAAATCACCGTTACCCACTTTTCAATTAGGGTTTAATTCATTATGATAGAGAGGTTTAGGGTTTAGGGTTTAGGGTTTAGGGTTTAGGGTTCAGCATCTCAAGTCCGAGCATTCACTAGTCAAGCAGCTTGTCAAGCGTTGGAAAAAAACCCACCCACCCAAGAAACCCATAACATTGAGAAAATACAAAGTTCACTCAATACATTCCCAGTAGTTAGTTTTTAACGGACCCAAAACCCGAAATCTAATCTAAGGCCGACAACAAGCCCTTTATGCTCTTAGGGCCCTAAACCCTACGGATTAGAAGCCCCTATCGGTGAAGGCTCGTGGTCAAAAACCCAGAAAACGAGGCCACCCAGAACCGTCGATTTCAGTACTAAAAAATCGCATTTTTAATAGGGACCCGGGCCGATCCTGGGGTCCCCCTCATTTGGGGTGTTTTTGGAGGCAAACTTTCCCTCCCAAGCAGGGTCGGAGTTTGAGGCCAGGGGGGGTCTCCGAAGACTATTTTGCCTTTAAAATTGAAAAACACGACCCCCCCTTGACCAAAACTAGGCTGTGAAAAGGTCGCGGGGGCTGCCCTTCATCAGAATTGAGGGTAAAAAGCCCTGAAACATTCTGAAAAACATTGAAAAACCTTGAAAAACACTGAAAACCTCTGAAAAACCTTGAAAAACCTTGAAAAAACTCGGGGAAAAGGAAATTCACCATTGCCCACTTTTGAAGCCGAAATTCACCGTTGCCCACTTTTGAGGCCAGAAAAGTCACCGTTGCCCACTTTTGAGGCCAGGAAAGTCACCGTTGCCCACTTTTGAGGCCAGGAAAGTCACCGTTGCCCACTTTCGAGGCCAGGAAAATCACAATTGCCCACAATTGCCCACTTTTGAGGCCACGAAAATCACCCTTGCCCGCTTTTGATGTCAAGAAAGTCGCCGTTGCCCACTTTTGAGGCCAGGAAAGTCACCGTTGCCCACTTTTGAGGCCAGGAAAGTCACCGCTGCCCACTTTTGAGGCCAGGAAAGTCACCGTTGCCCACTTTTGAGGCCGAAAATCACCGTTGCCCACTTTTGAATTAGGGTTTAAATTCATTATGATAGAGAGGTTTAGGGTTTAGGTTTAGGGATTCGGGTTTAGGGGTAGCCCCGGAAGCCCTAAACCCTTGCGGTTTAGGCTTGCAGGCCTCCTCCCAGCTAATCCCACTGTGTCGAAGGCAAGGCACTGTCGGCCTAGGAGAGCAGTTTAGTTAGGGTTTAGGGTTTAGGGTTTTTGGTTTAGGGTTTAGGGGTTAGGGCAGTTTCATGGGCCCTTGATATGGTCCCTTACCCTCTTTCAAGGGTTCTGAAGTATGGGCTCCTGGGTTGTCTTGGGTATAGAAGGGGTGTATAAGGTGCCCTCTTTTAAGGGCCCATACGAAGGGACCATGAAAATTGTCGTGAGGTTTAGGGTCTAGGGTCTAGGGTTTAGGGTTTAGGGTTTAGGGTTTAGGGTTCCAAGCAGGTGTGGTCTACACCTCAGAGAATTTTACAGGGTCTGGGCCGGCCGACTTCTTGGAACATTGATGCTTACGAAGTCTTACCCTAAACCTTAAACCCTGAACCCTTTCAGTCAAGATTTGTTGAAATGAACGTCGTCTTCGGGCTGACAAGGCAGGGCCCCGTGTGCTCCATAGATAGAGCCGTTCAGGGTTTAGGCTTTAGGGTTGAGGGTTTAAGGATGGTCATCCACCCCCCCCCTGGTGCAAAGGCTTCAAGGGTTAGGGTTCCTCGCTTTTTTTGCTTCCGCTCCGCGCGCAACGGATTCCAAAGGCAACGCCCCGTCGCTATGCCATGCCCCACTGGAATGTGGTATGGCCGTTGAACCCTTCTTTAAGAAAGTAGCTAGAAGCCCTGCCAAAAGATCAACAGGTCCAAGCCAGGAACGCCGGCTTAAAACCTGTACCCCTTACCGTTTCATAACCCTTACCGTTTCAACCATAAGCATGTAAAACCCCAAACCCCTAAGCACCTCACACCCTGAGGAACTTGAGACACGGTCACACCTCATAGGACAATCGCCCTAAACCCAAAACCCTAGACTCTAAACACTGCAACTTCAGAGTCGTCTGCAGCTTTTGGTGCACCCCTCCGCCTCCCCTTGCTCTGGTAGAAGTGTAGAGTAACTTGTGCAGGAACAACAGGGTTTAGGGTTTAGGGTTTAGGGTTTAGGGTTTAGGCGGGGGGATTATAATTGTGATTACTTGTTATGGTAGCCGCCGCCGCTATAACATTAAAGAGGAACGACCTGACCTTAGACCCATGAAACATCCTGATCCATCTTGTCGAACCTGGTTTTGCCGAAAGCGCTAACTGAAAACATGAAAACCCGGATGGACCATGCATCCCTATACAGCAACGCGCAGCTTTGAACCCCACAAAGCCTAATAGCCTGCGAACCCTACCAAAACTGCGAACTCTGTATCTCATTAACCCACCACAAGCCTCGAACAGCCTTCCAAACCCTAACATAGCCTAAACCCTAAACCCTCCATCCTAAACCCTAAACCCTAAACCCTAAACCCTAAACCCTAAACCCTAAACCCTAAACCCTAAACCCAGTACCTGATAAGCCCCTATCAACCTCCAGAGCCACCCCCAAGCTCTACAGCGACCGCTCTAGATAATCGGCCCTATACAGACCCAACTAGCCCTCTACAGCGACTAAGCCCCATCCACCCTAAACCCTAAACCTAAACCCTAAACCCTAAACCCTAAACCCTCTGAACCCTCTCAACCCTTAAAGCCTTAAATATCTTACACGCCTAAACCCGACAATCCAGGGAGCCCCCATCAAGGGACTAAAGGAGGGACCCTTGCAAGGCACCTTAGGGGTTCTTTTAGGGGCTACTTAGGTGTATAGGGGCTACACAAGGTATGTGTAGGGGTTCTATCGGGGAATGAGATTAAGGGTCCCTTCTAGGTGTCCCTCCTGATACCCACGAGGCAGGCTAAGCTCAGGCCCTAAACCCTAAACCCTAAACCCTAAACCCTAAACCCTAAACCCTAAACCCTAAACCTTCTGGAGCATTGGAAGGCCTCTCAGGTCAGGAAACCCGCGCAACTTGACCTCAGGCTTCAGGATAGGGTTGATAGTGTTTGTACAGGGCTTATGAGGCGTATATGGGCATTTCCCAAAAATGGGGATACCCCTTTATAGAATGGAATCCCCTTAAAGGAACCCCCCGAAAAGGGTACCCCTATTTTCCCAAAAATAGGGATACCCTTTATAGAATGGAATCCCCTTACAGGAGCCCCCAAAAAAGGGTACCCCTACTTTCGCCCCATATGCGGTCTGTCGGGTCGCTGGGGTTTATAGGATCTACAGGGTTTAAAGTGTCTATAGGGTCTAGGGTATAAGATTCAGGGGTCTAGGGTTTAGGGATTGGAGGAACCCGAACTCTAAACCCTAAATTCAAAGTCTAAACCCTAAGCCGTAAACCCTAGACCCTAAACCCTAAACCCTTAAAACGGCCGGCGGTTGAAGAGGTCCAGAGAACCTCTAGACCCAAGAGTAACCTAGGAATAATGAAAAGGGTACCCTGGTTTGAAGGGGCGTGTGGGGGAACCTAAAACCTAAAAAAAAGGGAATGAGGGCCTACTCCGGGTCCTAGACCTTCTTTATCAAAGTGATATCGGTGGCCTGGGGGTCTCGAGCCTTGATTTGCTTCGCCCTCGGTTTAGGGATTAGGGTTTAGGGTTTAAGGTTAAGGGTTGGGGGTTTAGGGCTTTTGGAAGTATTTCCTGTGCAGTGTCTAAGCTCAAGGTTTAGGACTCGTGTCAACAATGCAGAGTGAGGGCCTCAAAACATTAAATGAATCATGGGTTCTACCTTGGACTCTTAAGCTGGTACCCTTGGGCTTGGGGACTACGGTTTAGGGTTTAGGGTTTAGGGTTTAGGGTTTAGGGTTTAGGGTTTAGGGTCAGGGTTTAGGGCTTCAAGATCCCTAAAAACCCCATATTGGGAGTACATTAGGGGGAACCTCTTAGGGCACAACCTGAAGGGTACGAGTCTGAACCCCTTGACTTTTGCAAGAACAGCCGGGCTACCCCTCTTTACAACCCTCGTCAACCCCCAAACCTTGAAAACCCTAAACGCTACAAACCCTAGACCCTGAACATCCCTACACTCTGCAAAGCCTGAGTCTGGCGCATACCATGAATCCGAACAAGAATGGGAACTACTGAACTTGCCGCTTAGGATTCTGTCATTTAAGTCATTTAAGAGTACCTGCAACACCTGAATATTACGAGGAAGGACCTTGAATGATTACAACCCCTGCTCCAAACCCTAAACCCTAAACCCTATGCCCTAAACCCCTAACCCTAAACCCTAGACCCTAGAATGCGGGGCCTCCTGGGCCAAGTCGGACAACAGAGCGTCTCCCGCCGTCTCGCCTGGCGCAGGCCCGATCTTCCAGCTTGAGGATGTCTGGCCTCTACATGTACAGGGTTTAGGGTTTCAGGTTTAGGGTCTAGGGTTTAGGGCTTACTTGGAGGTTCAGGGTACTTAGTAACCCATTCTACGTGTAGTTACAACCCACATATACGCCCCTTTAAGTACCCCTAAACGTTATACTTGGGTTCTAAGTACAGATACAACTAGCTAGTAAGCACC